TGACTGTAAAGGAAAACTGATGAAGATTTTTTTTTATAAGGACAATGGGAACGGGGAGTCAAGATCATTCTTTCAGATGATAAATAAAAGCCTTGTTTTCAGATTATATAAAATGTTCCTCCTACTAATTTCATATGATGTAAGTGAGCGACATGTTAACACATAATTCAAGTGCTTCTCAGCCTTCAAAACTTTAAGCTGTGCAGACTTCAACTCCCAGAATATTCCAGCCAGTATGAATGTATTAATAATATTAATCAATTAATAATGAAGTAAAGGAATCTAGACCTGGCCTTAGGAAGTGGGAAGGAATGAGCAAACCATTATGGAGAGGGGTGCACTTTCATAAAACATTGCCTACTTTTGAAAAAGAAGGAAGCATGAAAAACTCTAGCTGATTCTCATCAACTCTACCTAGAGCAGTGATGGCGAACCTATGGCATGCGTCTCTAAAAGTTCGCCATCACTGGCCTAAGGCCAGGCAGCCTGGAGTCGCCATTGGGGAGCCCACCATCCCACCCGCCAGAGACCCCCTGGATCTCCCCCAACCCTGCCCTGCCCGGCTCCCACAGGTGTCCCTCCCCAAAAGCAACATTGAGATGGCCCATCCCGGCCATGCCCATCCAGTCTGCCATGACTACTGCAGCCACACCCATCCAGTGGCCATGCCCACTGTAGCTGCGCCCTCCGAGTAGGCCACACCCACCCGGCACCCGGCGATACATAAGTGGGTTTTGGGTTGCAGTTTGGGCACTCGGTCTCTAAAAGGTTCACCATCACTGACCTAGAGGTTGTTTGGTATGAAATGGGGAAGCAGAATTTCTAGCAGGCTTTCAAGTTTCTGTTATTGTATGCTATAATAATAAAGAAACCTGCCATGACTGTTCCTTGACCTGGCCAAACACAGCGGGCTGACACTGATATATTGTAGAGCTCTAGTTATCTGTTGCCCCACTGTTTGGTTTATTACTGGCAAAGGACCAACAATTCCTTTCCTGCTGGGGAACTGATTAGCGACCATGGAGGAATTGCACAAGGTTCTCAGTGGGTGAGGGTAGCAGATGCTTGTGGGCCAAAAGTTGTCCCTCAATGACCTCCGATATTGCAGTAAACATCATTGTTGCAGTTTATATTTTTAGCAACATCTTGTAACCTCTTCATCTTAGTATATTCTCAGTGTCATATAACATTTCAGAGTGGATTGATTGCTCACTGTAATGGGCTATGAGAATAACCTTGGGAGATTGGAGGAAGAGCTGCAGTCAGGGCAATGTCAGATAAGAGCTATATTAACCCACAGGAGGTATGGGAGTGGACAAAGTGTGGGTCTAGCACATTTGTTTGGTGCCGTGGTTAAGGCATCAGACAAGAAAGCAGGAGACCATGAGTTCTAGTCCTGCCTTAGCATGAAAGCCAGCTGGTTGACCTTGGGCCAGTCACTTTCTCTCAGCCAACTCACCTTGCAAGGTTGTTGTTTTGTGAAAAATAGGAGGAGTAAGGTATGTTGATTACTATATGTTCACCATCTTGAGTTATTTGTAAAAAATAATAAAAGCGGAATACAAGTAAATATATTTGAAGCCCACTAGGACTAGGTTACAATAAAGATAGTGCCAAGGAAGAGAATTGCCTTAAGTCGGAGCACCAACTATTTTATCTCATTTTAATAAGCTGGTTTTGGTAAACTTAGCATTTGAAAAGAGGCATATAGCAAAATGTCCTTTAGGTAATCTGAGATTAAATCACTAAGAAATAAGAAAGAGCTATAAACGTTATGTTTTTCCTTGGCAAAGAGAGAAGAACAATTCTTGTGGAATACCAATGATAAAAAAGTAACGTTTATAGTTCACTATTCTTTCTTCAGGACCAATTTCTGTTATTTGGATTTTCTCCTTTTCTCAAGATTTTTAAATGGGATCAAAGTAGCCTACAGTTAGTTTATAAAAGAAATCCTAAGTAACCCATACTACACAGTTGCATGCTGTACAAACATTAATTTTAAAACTGTCTTTCAGTCCTCATCCAGTCCATTTTAATGTTTAGTATTCGAGCCTTTTTTCTTTTCATATCTGTATGATTAACATGAGAAACAAATTTAAGTGAAATCAGCACATGGCTCATTCTAAAGTTTAAATTGCCTAAAAAAAATCATCTGGCAGATTTATTCATAACATTCAGGATAAAATTGAACTTTGTAGGAGTCCACAATATAAACGTAATGGGACTGAAGAGGCATTCCCATGCATAATCTTCTGTTATTAATCAACCATTGGTGAAGAATTAAAATATAATGTTTCCTCAAGTCCAGAGTCAGCTCACTTGCCACATTCAGGATATGTTGGAATGGGAGAAAATATAATTGTCATTGTTGGGAAGAATCTCTATGATAAAAATGAAAATACTGCCTAGAATGATATTTTGTTTCAATCCAAATAACTATTTGAACAACTGATGCATCATTTGAACAATGTCAGAAAAATATCTCTCCATTTGTATGCCAAGGGGGAAAAGCAAAGGTTTAAATATGAAGTTCTCCAAGATGCTGAGGAACAAGGAGGACTGGAGTTGTATTTTACAAACTGCTGTTGGTTTGGATGAAAAAGTGGGTGCTGCTGAGAAATAAGAGAATGATATAGCTAGATTACAATCTGAGGTTTGGATGGCATGGTTTTCTAGGGTAAAATAAAGTTAAGGCTAATGTAGCTTTTAACAATCGCTATATTAGAAGTGCCATATTGCAAATATGAAATAAATCTAAACCCAGACTGTGCCCAAAAATGCCTTTATGGGTCTCTTACACAAGAAACATTTTATAGGAAAGAAAAAGCCGGTAAGGGCAAATGGTTAATCTATTGACAGTTGTTAGAACAAGAACATAGAGAATGTAAGATGAAACCAAGAGAGCAACTGGGAGTTTTCAACCATTTTCATATGCACAATTTAGCGAAAGATATAATAGGATGTTTAGAATTTAGCAGCAGAAGACAGAAGTTGAAGCTGAATTATGTACAAATGATGAATGTGTAACTCCAACTATATGTAAACTCTTGCTGAAATTTGAAACAAAGGAAGAACAAGTGAAAGAATAAATGATAAAATAGGCTCAAAGCTTTAGCTATAATATAGTGTTGGAACAGTGGGAAAACTTGGCTGAAGAGATTAACATTCAGACTATGTTATAAGTTAAAAGAGAATTTTTATAAAATTATGTACCATTGGTATATGACTCCAGGAAATTTTTTTTCTAGAATATATAAAGGTACTTTAAATTTATGTTAGAAATGTGGACAATATCATACCCAGTAGACTTGTAAAAAAGCTGGAAAACTTTGAGTTCTAATACATGCAAAGATACAAAGAATTTTAAAGACTAATATTCAACTGAAACCAGAATTATTGATTTTTTTGCTGGGACAAAAGACAGATAATTTAAAAAGAGCCATGGAAGATTAGTTTTATCTATGATCACTGTTGAGAGATTACTACATGTGCAAAAATGGAAAGATTCCAACATACCCATGAGAGAGGAATGGTTGGTGAAAATGATGGGAACTAGTGGCAAAAATTAACTCGTTTGCTTAGAGACAGATCAACAACTAGATTTATTAGTGACTGGAAAAACCTTATGGACTTTCTGTGGAAAAAAATGAATGAATGAATGATGTATAGTTTTGATGATTAAAAAGGGTAGATTATGGAGAGAAGGAAGTTACTGTGTAACCTTAGAGAAGGCAAAATATAAATATAACTTCCTTATTACTTTTTTCTTTATTTTATTTAACATACTTGTATACTGTCGCTGCCCTTCTGACATAAAAGTGATTCTTCTTATTTCTTTTTTACTTTCTTATTACATTTCTCTATACTCCTTCTTTAATTCAAAAATTTCCCTCCCCATTTTTCTTATTAAATATAATAAATTCTGCTGTGGCTAAGTTATAGAAGTTTGAAAAATACCTATAGTTTCAGAAAAGTGGAAAGGGAATTTCCCTGGGATGGATTTCCTTCTGAAGAAAGGATTCTGAATTTTCTTTTTCTCAAAAACCAATATAACTTTTTGAAAAATTAAAATAATAAATTACTTTCCTTTTTAGCAAGAATCTAAAACATTGATGTTTCTTGAGACTTGAGGTGAGGATTCAGTAAATACTATGCAACAAAAAAGACCAATCCTGCCTATATTTCATAAATAGTAAAGAGACCTGGGGGTCTGAGAAATAAAGATGACAATTGTTTAAATAAGTGACATTGAACTATACTTTCAAATTTCAACTGGCCATAATTGAATAAAAATAATTGCTTTTTTTAAGGAGCTCAGTTTTCATGCAGTGGGTCCTGAATTTAAATCCTGTCACTTTGAATATCTTGCCACTTCTGGTTAAAAGGAAGTGGAGGCAGAAATATTACCAGCCAAGCCTTTTAGTGACTCGTGACCATTCAAAATAAATGGCATAAACTTTGATTAAAGCTACATAACTTATTTGGAATGCAAAACTCTGGACCAGCACTAGATGGCTCTGAAGAGTCAGCAGTCATCTAGATTTTTGCAGACCCAATCTGTTTGCCTGGCTTTGATAGATTTGACAACAGCTTCCTAAATTCTGTTTTTGTCCAAATATTCTAAATATTTCTCCAGAACTACATTCCAGGTCTTTGCAGGATATGGAACACATTTATAAACTAGATTTGAATACTTTCAGAAATTTAAGAACAGCTTGAAAACAAACTATTTGTCTCCCCAGAGATTATGAGTTAGTGTTAGCATTCCATAGTGTTGCTTAGAGTTTATTTTATGAAAGAAAAAGCAAAGCAGCCCAGCACCGAATCAGTTTCCAGATAACTGGACTCACAAGTGACCCGCCTAGTTCTGAAGTGCAGTCTGTCTCAAAGGAAGGTTTCCCTTTCCTAGTTGCTGGGTGGGCAGGGCAGGCTTCCTCTAATCATGAAGGTAAGAAAGTCAATCTCTATAAATCTATAAAAGACAGACTTTGTTTTGTAAGCAGAAAAGGACAACATGGGCTCACAACTCCAGAAACACAGGGTAAGTTGGGGTGGGAGAGAATGGATAGCAGTAACTGGAATATATATCTTTTTGTTGTTGTTGTTGTTGTTGTTGTTGTTATTGTTAAGCCACTACAGCAGTATTGTTAGCAAAGCATCTTTCAGCAGAGCTTTTTTCATTAATATATTGGAAGATTAGGTAAAAATATTAGTTCAAATGCACACCCCTTTAGTAATGTCTTCTTCCTTTTCCTCTCTTTTTAGATTCTAACTATTTTGATTCTATTAGAAATTACAGGCTGCTTTCCTGTTTTTTCAAGGTAAGTAGAATTTGTGTTAAAAATAAATCTTAATGTGTCTTAATAAGCAAAAATGGGATGTGCAAAGAAGTGCTTCAAAAATGAGAGGTGAGCTCCCGTGCTCAGGTTGAAGCATAGCCTTTTCTAAAACACTTCATTTCATTTCTCCTAGTTTTTTTCTTTCTCTCCTCCCTCGCTCCACCCCATTGTGTATATAAGGAAATATACCTAGTTTTCTCCTTTTATCTTTGGAACAAAAGTGTGAGCTTGCTTCAGATGAAGGATGCTGCTTGGTCCAAAGTTTTCCAGTAAACTTTGTAATGAATTTGCACTTAAGAAATCATGGTTCTCCAGCACTCCAAAAACTGCACTGGTTGCCTCTTGGTGGGAATTGAGTATTGCTAAATACTGATTGTTGGCTCCATTTCCATCAACACCACTTACTGCCTTAATTCCCAGTTAGAAGGAAGAGATTTTCCCACTACCCAAGAACAGGAGAAGCTACTTTGTTCAGTTTACAAGTTGAGAATTTATGAAATCCATTTTTCTCAATTGCCAGTTTATTTTATTTTAGCTGGGTGGTGCAGGAAACAACTTTCTTGTTAAAAGTGTGGGAGTTTTTCCAAAGTAGCTACTCTGTAAATCCTCTGTTCCGATGTTGAATACTTGGGGTTAGCGAGTGGGGAGTGGAATCTAAAGCATACAAAATGCTTTAATAGTCCTTTTTCATTTATTTGCACAATGTTATGAAATTATTAAGATTGCCGTTTCCCATGTGGTTTCTGGTGCTAAACAATTGGTTTCAATTTTTAGCACTTTTGAGCAGTCTATCTAGAAATAAAGAAGCATTTGGATGTATTTGGGTTGCAATCTCAGAATTCCCTGCTACAGTAGTTTCAGGCATGATGGTGAGAATTTGGAGTGGTAGTTTCAACATCAGAAGGACACTAAGTTGGGAATGACAGCTTCAAGGACCAAGGACCAAATTAGATAAACGTGAGCGAGAGCTGTATTTGGAGAACGGAATGCTTCCACACAAGGTTTTAGTTATCCACTCTAATTCACAAAATTTTATGGAGGTGGAATCATCATTGTATTCTGCTTCTAAGTTTCCTATGTTTTCAGGAATGCAAGATTAGCTTCTGCTGCAACTGTTCAAAGTAGCTACATTTTTCCTGGGGGGAAAATATGTATGCTTTAAAAAGCTGCAGAAAGGGGAAGTTGTTTCTTTGGAATTACTACTGTAGGATTTAGTAGTCATTTACTTTAATAATCAAATAACCAAACACATTACTTCCACAAGATATAAAATAATTGTGTGCAAAAAGGGAAGGAAACACAAAAAGAAAATAAACACAAACATAAGTACCGTAAATGTCTACACATATTAAATAGATATACAGTGCATCTCCATTTTGAAAATGTATCATCCAATTTTGTTTACCTCAAGTAATTTTAAAAATAATCTCCTGGATCTAAAAAAATGAGTCATCAGCAATACTAACATAATCTACATTTTAAAATATGATCTTTTTTATTGTCTTTTTTTTAAAAAAAATATTGGGAATCCTTGGCATATTTGATTGTATGTGGTCCTTGGTGCTCTTTGACCCTGGTTATTTTCTTGCAGATGTTTCATTACTACCCTAGAATACATTATCAGTGCTAAGGAAGCGGGGTTTTTTCTCATTATATATACTAGTGATTTGCCCCATCAGTGTTATGGTATGGTCTTGGTGGTTCCCTGATTAGTTGTAGTTTATTGTTAGCTACTTTGTCTCGGTAGTTCCGTGAATAGGGTTGTCCAAGATCGACAAGGGTATTGTTTACTTCTTGATGGTTGAGCAATAATCTCTGCTTATCTGGATGTTGAATGCTGGGGAGGAGATGTTTTGATCTTTTGTTTCCTTTTTGGCTATTTGACTGTCTCTTTTGAATGGTATGGTATATAGATATACTGTAGATGTAGAAGCCAAATCCAAAAACATTACAGAAATTCTTGGAAGTCTGGTACTCAGACAAATTGGCCATCAACAGGCACCTAGAGATAAGCAACATCTACATAACATTCAAAAGAGACATATAAAATATATAAAATATAAAAATAATAATAAATATAATAAAATAATAAAAATATTATTTTTAAAATGTAAAAAATATATATGACTATGTGTTCGTGGTTGTGTATTTATTACACACAAAACATCAGACATTCTTGACTAAGAAATATTTTCATGTGGAATAGGAAAAAATAAAGGTAAAGAAAGGTAAAGGTTTCCCCTGTCCAGTTGTGTCCAATTCTAGGGCCGTTGCTCATCTCTTTCTTAGCCACCATTGTCCGAAGACATTTCCTTGGTCATGTGGCCAGCATGACTATACACCAAGGCACTCTTATCTTCCCACCAAAGTGGTACCTATTTATCTAGTTGCATTTGCATGCTTTTGAACTGCTAGGTGGGCAGTTCAAAATAATACCCAATACCCAGATTTAAAAAAATTAATTGCTCTATAAATCACCCTAAAAAAGTTTAATCACCCTAGTTTAATCCTCATTATACCATTTAAGTTTCTAAATAATTTGAAGGGACAAATCAGAAAAAAATGAATATCTTTTTGTGTTGCCAGTTCAAAGACTTAAACTGTTGAGGCCACAACAAGATATTAACATAACTAATGATTTTACAGAACTGAACTACTACCAGACTAAGTCTCTATAATAAATGGGAGAGGGAGCCTAAGTGATACACATTTTCTATCTCCAAATTACATTCTGGCGGTAGTGAAAAAAAATTACTGGCTTTTTCCCCTTATTGTCTCAAACATTGATCCAGCACTACATTATGAGGATTTTTTTAGAAAATGAAGATTGTTCCTATATAAATAACCCTGTAAATAGGATGGTTTAACTTAGGGTTTTATCATTTTTTATTGTTTTATTTCAAATTATTAGGAATAATTCTATAGCATGGTCACCATATTTATTTGACTAATCTTTTCAAACTTCCAGATCTTATATAGATAGGTGGGAAGTATCTAGAAATTTGTAGTTAAACCTCAGGTAAAAGCTAGAAATAGCTAATGTTAAGATCTACTGGCAACAACTTTTTAATTTTTCAATCAGGAGGTTTTCCCAATTCAGGATTGAATCTAGGACATTGATGGCAAACCTTTTAGAGACTGAGTGCCCAAACTGCAACCCAAAACCCATTTATGCATCGTCGAGTGCCGGGTGGGTGTGGCCCATTGGTTGGGTGTGCCAATTAGGTGGGCGTGGCCCATTGGATGGCCGTGGCTGCGGTGGTAATGGCAGACTGGGTTGGACTAAAAAGTTCAATCAATCAATTCCAACTTTGCAAGATCTTTTTTTTCCCGCGAGAAGTTGAAATTGACTGATTGAACCTTTTTTTTTTTTTGCACACGGTGGCGGAGGCCTAAAGCGAAAAGGTTTTATAAAAACCCAGCTGAAGGCCTAGGACTGGGGCGACAGTGCGCGTGCCCACAGAGAGGGCTCTGACTGCCGCCTCTGGGACCCGTGCCATAGGTTCGCCACCACTGATCTAGGACTTTTTCAATGAAATATCTTATAGTACTCTGTTATTGTGATATATCTCTTCTCTCAATGCTGCAATAAGTGACAATATATTTTTTCTTTTTCCATACATAACATCCAATAGCATTTATCCAGTCCACTGCAGATGGAATCCATATGGTCCTTGGTCAGAGTGTGATGGCTGTACTAAAACACAGGTATAATATTATAAACATTTTCTGCATATCTAATTGCTTGGAACTTTCTTCAAAATCATGAGCTGATTTATATTTCTGGACTCTTAGAAGATTATATACAGGTAGTCCGTGACTTACGACCACAATTGAGCCCAAAATTTCTGTTGTTAAGTGAGTTTTACCCCATTTTATGACCTTTCTTGCTACAGTTGTTAAGTGACTTACTGCAGTTGTTCAGTTAGTAACACGGTTGTTAAGTGCATCTGGCACCCCATTGACTTTGCTTGTCAGAAGGTCGCATAAGGGGATCACATGACCCCAGGACACGGCAACCGTCATAAATATGAGTCAGTTGCCAAGCATCTGAATTTTGTTCATGAGATCATGAGGATGCTGCAACTGTCATAAGTGTAAAAAATGGTCATAAGTCACTTTTTTCAGTGCCGTCGTAACTTTGAACGGTCACCAAACAAACTATTGTAAGTCAAGGACTACCTGTACTGGAGATGCTAAATCAAGGCTTAGTGGTATGGTATTGTTTAGCACTTGCGAGTTAAAACTAGTGTTGAAGCTATCATATCAGGGTACTATCCAGAAAGTAAAAAAAAAAATTGGAAGCTAAGATTGAAATGTCATTGATAATATGCAATGTAAAAAAACCTTTTATTTGCTTACAGCTCTACCCTCTATGACCTTACATTTCTATTTTAGTATTCCCTTTTGACAAACAATAAGTGCTGGTAATAAGTTGCCTTTGTTAATTGCAACAATATATAGTACTTCTAAGTATAACAAGAAGTCATACTTTAGAGAGTTGTCCAAGGGGCATCTTTGTGTTGCCTTAAGTATTATATTCACTATACTCTATGAGTAAACCATTTTACTCATATTTATGGGGCCACCACAAAGAAGAGGGGATCAACTTATTTTCCAAAGCCCCAGAAGGCAAGACAAGAAACAATGGATGGAAACTAATCAAGGAGAGAAGCAACCTGGAATTAAGGAGAAACTTCCTAACAGTGAGGACAATTAACCAGCGGAACAGCTTGCCTTCCGAAGTTGTAGGTGCTTCATCACTGGAGGTTTTTTTTAAAAAAAACAACTGGATAGCCACCTGTCCAAAATGGTATAGGGTCTCCTGTTGAGCAGGGGGTTGGACTAGAAGACCTCCAAGGTCCCTTCCAGCTCTATTCTGATTGATTTATCTTTTCAACTGATTATTGATACAATACATATACAGTAGATTTTTTCTGAATTTTCTGGTATGTTGTGTTCTTTCAACTTATTTCATTATCCTCTTTTTTTTCTTTTTCATTTTCTCTCTCTTCTCCCCAGTGTCAGGCTTTTAACTAAGGCTCTCTGGATATGTATTTATAGGAGCAAGCTGGAAGTGCAGAAATTGAGGTATCCCTCTGCTTGCTGCTCTGGCCATTAAATTGCAGACAGAGCTAACATGCAAAATCAGATTTCTTGTCTAGGGCAATTTTTTTTTCAACCAGGAAAAAAATTAGTTGTGGAATTCCATAATTTCAAATCCAATCCATCAGACTGTCAAGCTGTAGAAGGCTGGTATAGTTATCATTATTCTGACATGAATTCTTAATAAGAGACTGATCCCTAATTTTGATGGGTATGTAATTTTACATAGACATATACCACATTCAAAATAGAGATAAGCAAGCTTTTTTTCTACGTTTTCTTTTTTTCTCTATCAGCAACAGGACTAATACAAACAACAGGGAGGGTTCAGAAAGAATTATAATGTGGAAGAAAGAAAGAAATAATGTGGAAGAAGAAAAAAAAAACGCTTATTCCCAGAACTCACCAACCATCAGCATATGTCATGATGAATTAGGCCCAAGAGAATGTTCTCACTGAAAACATTCGTTTTCAATCCTAAATTAATGTGTTTTGGTTTAGATTCGCAGGCGAAGTGTAGCAACTTATGGACAGTTTGAAGGAAATCCATGCTCAGGAAATTCATTTGAAACTCGTGCATGTGTTCCCACAAGAGGTTGCCCAACAGAAGAAGGATGTGGTGACCGTTTCAGATGTTCTTCAGGTATATAGCTTCAAGAGTTTAAGTGACTGGCTTATTGTGTCAAGTGCTAGGAAAAATCAGAACATTCAGGCGATTCAAATGAGGATAAAGATTTATTGCGAACTTAAGCTCTCTACAAAAATCTGTGCTACTAATGGTCAAGGGAAATGAGCAGGAATTAAGAAGGCATTCAATATGGGATGGATTTAGATCTCTTGCGGGCACACAGGGACTCATGACTTATGACACATTTGACCCCCTCCCTCAGGCTCAGCCTGGTCATCTCTTAAAGATAGCTCTGTAGTGACAGAAAATGGAAGTAAGTAAGAGACAGTAGAGAAAATTATCTAACAGAATTACATTTCAGCTTTGTTTGTCAGATTGTGGTAAAGGGACCATTGAATAAGCCCCAGTGCCAAAACACCAGAGCAAGATATCAAACAACACTGTGTTTTTATGAGGTCAATTTATTCATCAATTGTGGTTTTTCTTATAGATCTTACCTATCACTATTGTCTATTTTTATGGTAATAGGACAATGCATTCGCAAATCATTGATGTGCAATGGAGATCAAGATTGCCTGGAAGGTGGCTCTGATGAAGATAACTGTGAAGAAGTCAAGAAAATATGTGATGAGAAGCCCCCACTTAGATCACCTCCTAATGTAATGCTTACAGGAAGAGGGTAATTTGCTTTTGTTGTTCTTCTGAATGAAAAAGTTATACTTTTTACTTACCAATCCCTTGTTGAGGAACTCTGGGCAGCATGTTTAATAATTTCTATATTAATTATTACAATTAATCGTGACCACTTAATTCTTTCAACCAATACTTATTCAGCTTCTCCCTATGTATGATCCTTGGTTTAACAAGGAGTTCTTGGAGATGAAGTACTAGAAGAGACATCTGGAGCACCATTGAAGGAAGACTCAGATCAGATTTGATTGGAATGGTTGGAGCCCCTTTTGATTTTTGACATGTGTTGTTGACCAAATTGTCCTTTTGTCCCTCTTATATGCTTTTTGGATGGTAAAGTATTGTGGGTTTTTTTTAATGTTGTATGCAATTGGAGTTGATCGGCACCTAAGTTGAATAAAATAAATAATATATATTTTCCTATGTTGAGAATTAGTAGCATGCTAAAGGCTGAAGTCAAAGCATATCATTTTGCCTAAGCCTGCAGAATCTCTTTGTGGTGCAATTCAAGCCAATTTCCATACTGAGAGCATCAGTTCTTTTTATGTACATCTGCACATCTCTATCCAATATTTACAATTTAGGATAGTTTGTAATAATCCACATTAGTTTCTTTGTTACTACTGTGACTAAAGAGAAATTCCATTCCTTATTTCTTTCCTAGAACAGATACTGTTTTCCCAAGTTGGAATTTCTGGACAATTAGATCATAACATCTCCTCAACCTATGCAACCTTAGTTGAGGGACTGAAGTCGGGTTTTCATGTTATGTCAGGCTTTCATGTTAAGGATCATTTAACACATCATTGTGTTTTAATAAAACATTTTAGCCGGTTATTCTGATATTTTATTTATAAAAAGAAAGAACATTTCTGTCTGAATTGAGCCATAGTTGCCAACCTGAAGTCAAAAAAGATTTAACAGGAAAATGAATGTAAGAGCAGTATGGAAATAGCTCAATAATTGTTCAGTTCACTTAGCAAATTGCATAAACTGAGCAGCCAGTCGCACTCATATTTTTGGTAGTGATTTTTTTTTAGGCCAATCCTGTTCAACTTGGATGCCTACCACTTGCATGTTTTAATTCTCAGAATTCTCAGGGAATTAGTTGAGATATTTGGAAGACATCTGGATTGGGGAAAGCAGTTATAGATTCTGTAAGAAGGAAGAAAACCAGTAAAAATGTCATCTGAAATGCTTGGGCCTTTTATTCTGGATTGCCCCTTTGCTGGATTGACACATCATACAGAGCAATAATGGGGTCACTTGGCTTTGGTTGTTTGGCATGTGGTGTATACTCAGCTACTGTGGTTTGTTAGACATGATATACAGCATGTTGTATAAACTCAGTTAATTGGGGATTATTCAATAAACCATGGTTAAGCATGTTTTTGCAGAAGCAGAGATATTCATAAATAGCTACTGCTTTTCTCCAGTCTCTTGGCTGGTTGATCTTAATGGAGTGATTGGTACTTCAGCACAAAGGCTAGGATATTATTTCAAAGCCTATAAATTATATGCTTTATGCATTGCTGTGGCCTTGTGGATGGCTTCATTTGAATAAAAAGATGAGAGGAGATTGGCCATTTTTATGTTAATTTGGGATCAAAATGTAGCTTATCAAAGACAGTTGCCATAGAGATTAAAATGTTTTAGTATTATAAGATACAGAGAGCAATTCCGTTCCTCTTTATGTAACATGCTGTTATATGCTATCAGCTTTGTGGCTTACAGAACTTCATCATGGCTATCTTGTTCTGTCCATAGTTTAACTGTAGATGTACCAATGATTAGTTCCAGACCGCACATTCTAGATCTTGCACTTATAGTTACATTATAACTTTATTTGCTTGCAGCTTTGATGCCCTTACTGGTGAAATGAAAGGTGTGGTCATTGACACTAAGAGCTTTGGTGGCCAATGTCGGAAGGTCTTCAGCGGTGACCGGAGAGAATATTATCGGCTGAGTGAAAATGTCCTTGCTTATACATTTGAGGTGTGATTAGTTTATTTTCCTTATGGATATATTTCTAATCTATCCATGACCAGACATTAAAAGATACCATCTGACATCAGAGATGTTGTGTTAGGACTATATGGAGCTGCTATCTACAGCCTGATAAAGAGCTAATCCAACCTCTTCCTACCAGCAGCTACTAATACCTTTAGTAAGAATAGGAGTTTTTTTTCCCACATAGATGTTTCTTGTTTCCATTGGTTAAATACTTTTTTAACCCAACATCTCACCACTTGTATTATTACCATTAGACACCATCTGGGTTGCCCATCTGGCAGCGGTCATAAAAAAAATAGGAGGAAATTTGCATTTATTGACTGGAGTTAATTTGGTGTTACTCCAATTCAGCAACTTCCAGATGTATTTGAATTAATAGCTCCCAATATTTCCAGACAGGATGCTTCTTCGTTATTTGGCAAGCTTGCTGGGAATTCTAGGAGCACCTGTAGCATTTATATCAGCATTATTTCATCTTGACAAAAGCTGCATTATGGAGGCAATCTATATTCATTTCAAGAGCCAGAATGTGGCAGTATTGTTTTTAATGAGTCATCAAATATCTTTGTTTTTTCTTTGTACAGGTGAAAATTGAGAATGAATTCAATACTGAATTTTACAACAGTAGCTGGTCCTATATGAAAGAGACAGAGAGTCGCGCTAATGGAAATGATTACCATCACTACACAGAAGAAGAATATGCAAAAGACCGTTCAGAGGTATGTATTGCTTTGCTTTCTTCCTTCTCAGGTGATAGAAAAGTGAAGCGGACTTATCTTTGGAGGGGTGGTGGTGTCTTTTAGAGCTTTACATTATCTTCAAAATTACTCAGAACAATCTGAAGTCGGCTCTTGTAGCAAAATACAAGTTCAGCTAATATGTTTAGGCCAAGAACTGTTTCCATTTTGCTGGCAGCAGGACCCATTTTGCATTCAAGAGAAGCTCTAGAAAAAAAATAATCAGCTTCCTTACTAATCAAGTATAACACCTAATGTGAAATTGACTAAACTGCTAGTGAATGCAAAGGGGCGTTCTTCATTTTCTAACAAATACAGTATCAAAAATATGTTCTGGAAATGGAATGATCTGCAACAGATTTGGGGGTTCCTTTAGTGATGGTAGAGGGGTGCAGAAAAGAGCGTATCCTATTCTATTAACAGAATCTGTTTCCAATGATTCTGCTAGAATCAGTCATTCTGTAATAGTATATGGAAGATGGGGTGAAGATATGCTGCCAAGAGAATGGTCAAATAAGATAAGGCATAGCCAGAAACTGTAGGCAGAGCAAGAGACTCAGAAAGGACCTCCCTAGCTTCTTGGGCTGTAAAGGAAATGGCGGAAGATATGTGCTTTCAGTCTTGCAAGATTCTATTTAGGAAGCCTTACAATAAAGTAGAATTAGTGTAATCTATCTGGAAGGCTGACACCATAGTCTATCATCATCATCGTCATGTTGGCTATTCACATTATGTGAATCTCAAACCATTTTCTAAGAGAACAGCATAAATGCAAAACTGGAAATTATACCTTAAAAAACATAGAAATTACATGCTCATTGGATCAAATAATCAAGATTGACTTGAATCAAGAAAGCATGTAGCAAAACTATGTAACTACAAATAATTATCCATTTGTTCATGAAAGACCAGAAGCCCTCCTACAGTATATGCCAAATACTTACTCTAATATGTACTCTGTCATAAACAGTGTTCTGGACAGCAAGAAGATGAAGCAACATTTTCCTTTCATTGTCTCACAAATCTCTAATATCAGGTCATTAATAACTCTAACATTAGAGATTAAGTTCAAGATATGCATGAAAAAATAAGAACGGTATCAGTTGCTGAGAGCATTTGGACCTGGTCTTTGGGTCTTGATTCTAGAGCAGGAGCTCTGTCTGAAACTGGGCCATGGGAGAAATGGGCAAGCGCACAGCTGAGAAGCTCCACCCGTGTGAGCAGAGGGCACTGGCTCTCGCATACGAAGTTGCCCTTGCGCGAATGGAGCTTCATGTGCCAGTGCAAGCACCCTCCGCTCACATGAAGCTCCATTCATGAGAATGGAGGGCGTGCACACACACCATTCGCTCAAATGAAGCTGTTCGCAGGCGCCTGCCACTCACACGCCTCTCCCATGCTGGGCCTGGGCTGCCAAGTTAGAAAGGTTGGGGACTGCTATTGGGAGAGGAGAGGAGAGGTTAGGTTCATTTTGAACCACTGATAGGCTAAGGTGAGTATTATGTGACTAACTTGAGACAAATGCAGATATTTGCCTGTAAACTTCAAAGTTCTATGTACAAGACTCTGTATATTACTGAATAGCACATGCTAGATAGCAGGCTCCAATAATTGAATTTTGAAGAGTGCAGGTTGACATTGTGACCCGAGTATGGTACGTGCAGTGTACCATACAGTTGACATGTCCATCCTCTTTGTATGCTTGTTAAAAAGAGCTGCCTGATTTGTGTCTTATCTTTCCAGAGTAACTATCTTATGGTGATTGAAAATTCAGTGGAAGTTGCACAGTTCCTCAATAACCAACCCACATTTTTAAACCTTGCGGAGTCCTTCTGGCACGAGCTTTCTAGACTGCCTTCTTTCTATGAGTATAATGCATATCACCAACTAATTGAACTTTATGGAACACACTTCCTGCATTCTGGATCTTTGGGAGGATATTACAAAGCCATTTTTCATGTCTCTAAAAATAAAGCTAGCTCAAGAGGTAACATTTACTGTACTCATTTGTCAACACCAAGAGTTTATGAGTGAAATGTCTTCTATTTTTGCATGTGGTTTTGGATTCTTACTGGTTTGGTTCAGGCTTCTTTTACAAGTCAAGGAGAAACGTGATCATTTTATGTCTTGGAGTTCACTATTTTTATTGGGAGTAGGGTGAGGTGGGAAGAGCTTTTGTAGGTGGTTACACGTATTAGTATAGTTTTGAAACTCTCTGTATTTATGTTCTACTGCACAGCTCTGTGCCAGTATCAATATTTCATGTTTTACAGCAGCTTCTACCTTCCTAATAAATTAGAGTAAAGTAGGCAGAGAAAAATGACCCATTATGATGAAAACTAAAAGCCACAGCCTGAATGCACGCAGTTCTGTATTTAAAATCATGGCATTGTACAACTAAATGAGTTTGCTTTCGGTACAATATAGGTGGGTCTTTTCTTACGTTTCTACAGCTGCTTCCTGCAGCTACAACATGTTTCTGGAAAAGTTATGATTGCTTTAAAGATTTGCCACGAGGTTGCTACATTCATGCCCTGTTGTGCTTTAAAACAGGGCTTTTCAACCAGTGGTACGGGTACCACCTGTAGTACATTGGCACCTGGCAGGTGGTACGCAACCATCCTAGAAAAGTGGTAGTGGGGGAAGGGAATTAGCTGAACCAGTGGCAGCACTGCACAAGCCTGAGCGAGAGATCGCTGGAGCTGCAGGGCTGTCAGGGCTCAGCGGAAGCACCAGGATCAGTGCCGCTTTCCAGCTGATCAGCGCTTCTTCGGGGCTGTCAGGGCTCAGTGGAAGCACCAGAATCAGCGCCAGGCTCCAGCTGCAGCTCAGCGCTGATCCTGGAACTTCTGCTGAGCCCAGAAGAAGCGCCAATCAGCTGGAATGTCGCAGCATCTCCAGGGTCTTGTGATTTACATTCAGATGCTTGGCAACTGATTCATATTTATGATGGTCATAGTATCCCAGGGTCATGTGAAGTGACCAAAACCTGCTGCAACCACCCAGCAGATGGGTGGAATAAAAACCAAACACCTTCCACCCCACCTCCGCTGCCAATCCCCAACAGAAATGCTTACAACAATGAAAACATCGAATAGGAGGAAAAGCGCTGCTGGGTGGGCAGGCAGGTGTCTTGCTCGGCTATGGCTTGGGGGGCACTTTTTTCAGTGCCATTGTAACTTCAAACAGTCATTAAGCGAACTGTTGTAAGTTGAGGACTGCCTGCACTTTCTCACTTTTTCCCTCTTTTTTTTGGGTCATCGAGTTTTTGACACCTTGCTAGGCGACTGGTGGTACTCGGATATTGCCATATCCTAAAAGTGGTACAATGGGTGAAAAGGTTGAAAAGCCCTGCTTTAAAACACTTCTGAGAACCAAATAAAAAAAAATTGCACAATTGTGTTGTAACCCAATGCCTAAATCATGCCATATACTAGATCCATTGTTTCTGCGATTTCAAAGAGAGGAAAATAATCATTTTTAAAGTATATCTCTGTGCATAGGTTACAGACATTAAAAACTTCCTATCCACTTTGGCCCTGAGACATTGACTTAACCTGTTTAACATTGAAATTCCAGTTTGTTAAACCTTGTCTACATAAGGTTTTCAGCTATAAATAATAATATGTGAATCTCCAGTATGTTATATGGTCATGAAAACAGGGTCATTTCTGGAGTGGTCTCCAATATGAAATTTCTTGCTAGTTTCATTTAGCAAATGTAAGCATTATGAATATTAAGGCATTCCTTAAACCAATTTTTTGTCCTTAACAAAAGTTCATGGCATTACAGGTAGTTCTCAACTTACAACAGTTCATTTAGTGACCTTTCAAAGTTACAAAATGACTTACAATCATTTTTCACACTTATGACTTTTGTAGCATCCCCATGATTATGTGATCAAAATTCAGATGCTTGGAAATTGGTTCATATTTATGCTCATTGATGTGTCCCAGGGTCATGTGACCTTTCGACAAGCAAAATCAATGGGGAAGCCAGATTCACTTAACAATCATGTTATTAACTTGTCAACTGCAGTGATTTACTTAGCAACTGTGGCAAGACAGGTCGTAAAATGGGGCAAAACTCACTTAACAAATGTATCACTTAGCAACAGAATTTTTGGGCTCAATTATGGTCATATGTCAAGGACTGCCTGTATTTGGTTTATTAGACTTCCTTTTCCATCCATGGATTGCTTTTATGAATTCCTGAATTACATAAATTCTATTTGTTATCAAGATAATTTTTTAAAACCGGTGGGTTGCCACTGGTTTTGGCAGAAAATTAAAATCTTTTAATTCCTAAAGTAAGCATATTTGCTCTGTTTAAATAATAGGGTTATCTTGGGGCCTATAACTCTGCAAGAGCTACCCATCAATCTGCAAAATGAGTACACTAATCCACTTTAGTACAATGAAACCTATCTGATGGTTGTTTGTTTCATTAGGGCTCAGTCTAACAGATATGCACAAATGCACTACTTCTGGATACAATTATTGGATTGTAAAGAAGAAGAAAGTAGAATGTGAAACCCTCAATGAAATCTTGAAGCAATCTTCAGGTAAGGGACTACAGGTATATTCCCAGGAAAATATTAGAATGTTCACTGTCAGTATTCCATGATGTTTTTTTGTTTTTTTAAACAAGTTTTATTAATTTTCCAATTTTACAAAGCTTCAGGTATTAAGGAAGCAACATGTTGATTGGGTAATCCATAGTCCAATAACAAGCTCTTTCATACATATGTCAGGTTACATCATCAAAAATTTCCTCTCTGTTTCCCTAGGTGAGGGGTAGGCAACCTTGGCTCTTTTATGACTCGTGGACTTCAACTCCCAGAATTCCTGAGCCAGCTTGGCTCAGGAATTCTGGGAGTTGAAGTCCACGAGTCATAAAAGAGTCATAAAAGAGCCAAGGTTGCCTACCCCTGCCCTAGGTTATTATATCACATTCAGATTAATACATTGCTAGTTATAACTCAATCAGTTGAAACATTTATCAATATCTTTTGACTTATACGCCTCCATATCCTGTTTTTAACTTTTATCTAATTTCAGTTACAGTGTTCCAGTTGGCTTAATGTCCATAGTATTTAGGTTTCGGATAGCCCACGGTTCCCTTAGTTCATTACAAAATAGTTATCATATCTAAAATACACTTATTATTTATTCAGATAAAGGCATTGCTATGGAAGCCTGTCTGGCACAAAAAGAAGGCCAGAGTTAGACTTAAAAAATGTTTTTTTTAATGTGACCTTTAATGGAAGAGTCTAAAATTTCACTTAATGGGCTAAGGAGATTTTAAAAAACATTAATTGATTTAATATTTAGGATTTAGACCTATAAGGGAAATAAAAATTAGTCACTAGAATAATAGTTTAGAATTATAATATAGAAGATGGATTCAGAGGATAAAGGTTATTTTATTAGTAAGTGATGATATTAGGATGAGAAGCATTCCATGTTGTTAAAGGACTTTGAATAATAGGATGATTCTAGAAATACTAAACTCCTATATTATTGGAATAGGACATTTCTGCTCATTTCTTTTGACCTACAAATGCTGTGAGACAATAAGAATCATTTTCTCTTCAAAATAGCCATCTAGAAGGTCACAGCTGTCCAATACTGGTCTTCCAGTCCATTGTACCCTAAAAGAGGCTGGGATTCTGTGTTTAAAATAAGGATGTAGTTCTTTTCAGCTCTGTATTTTTATTAAATATAAACTTCTTAAAGAGCACTCATGATTTACAATGATCCTTTTGATGGGGCTCATATTGTTGGGCAATATAAGTGTTCAGCTTTAATATGCTCTATCTGTCTGCCTATCCTTCTAGGAGTCCGCAACGATCAGATTAGAGCTGACCCATATGTAGAGGGAGGGGATTCTGGATCTGTGGCTGGCTTAAGTTTCATAGACGTGAACAATCCAGTGGCAAATACCGAACGATATTCCCACTGGGCTCATTCAGTGTCTCTTTTCCCTAAAGTTATTAAAAAAAAGGTAAGACTTTGATTGCTTAGATTTGGCACAGCTTTTTGCATAAGCAAAAGCCCAGCATTTTCATACATAAAGGTAATAATGGGATCTTGCTTCTGGTTACCCCATATTAGTATATATTGTAGGCCAATTCCAAATAAGCTGCATTTAGGCTTATCTCAGTGTGTTGATCACACTATATCTATATGAATATTTTTATTCACATGACTGCTAAATACATAAAGGTCCATGGAACTTGTTTAATATTTTCATTTACTTCATTAGGCCTACCATATTGGCTGTATGCATCCTGATCACTGCTAGATGATCTGCTACTATCTAGTAGTAATTTAGATTTTTGCAGCCTAAATATGTTAGCCCTGTATTTCACATTGTTTCTCAACCTCAGCAACTTTAAGATGTATGGACTTTAACTCCTGAGGTTGAGTAAGGCTGCCATGAATCTACACCAGGTGTACTAAGAGTTAGTATGAGGTGCCATCTTGTATAAAGAGACAGGCATCCTTCTCTCAAGCGCTTTATAAAAGATGATTCAAATCTTGCAAGATTATCAGATCTTGTTAGATTTTAGGATATCAGGTCTTAGTAGCATACAATCTCACACCAGATTTTAGCATTTTTTAAAAAAGGAATAATCATATGGGGGCATGTGATTGCTTTTTATGGGAATTGCTGATGTTCTAAATCTTTGTCAACCTTGGCAACTTTAAGATGCATGGACTTCTGAGAGTTGAGGTCTATGCATCTTAAAGTTGCCAAGCTGAGAGAGACTGCTCTGAAGTCTCAGGTTAGGGTTAGGGTTGTGAATTCCTGACCCACATAATCTCTCTACCTAACTATGGCCACCTGATATATATCACCCCAGGATTCTGTTTTGGAGCATCAGCAGCTCTAAGCTGATTTCATTCCTTCCTATTTCAAATAAAAATAAAATGTTTGCTTTGCTTTCCTATATTTTGGTTCCTTAAAATTGCCGTTGACAATAAAAACAGCTTGCTGTTAACTTTGCTAAACAGAAGAGTAACCAAGTGAAAGCAAAGTGCTTGTGACCATTTTGCATTTGTCAGCAAATTATTTAAAATATTTTAATTAGTCTAAGTGTCCGGTTGTTTTTACCTTCTGGGCCAGCAGAACTTATACTAAGATATAAACTATGTAAAAATGTATATAGATTTGTACTGAGCATAGCTAGGAGACCTGTTTTAAATGCATGTCAGCTATGAACCCACAGAGGCAAATTCTCTTATATTTGAATACCAAACAGCAAGCAGTATCATGGATTACTGATTAATTATAAGTCTCTAAATAACTGTAACCCTTCCCTCCTCTTCCCTCCACCCCCTTCTACAAATTATATTTTTGGTGTCAAAACGCTGCTGTTTTTTGTCCCTGAAGCATTTGCCTGAATCCTGTTTTACTTTATTTTATGTTATATTATGCAAAGCAGTTGTTCTGTTTTTCATTATTCAGAAATGTTAAACAGATGGTATCTTGCAAGGCAAATGTAATTTCAATTCTTAAAAGGTTTGATTTGCATCAGAATTACTTTTAACTGTGGATTTTATTTTTCTACTTTCTTTTTTTCACTTTTGATATTATTGGTGTGAGGTTTTTTAGTTTCTTTGTTTTTTAAAACTTACCTTAGAAATATATCTGCCAGCCCTGCACTGGAAAAATGATTATAAAAATCTACTTTTAAAGTACTGTGGAACCATAGAAGGGACTTGGGCTGCTGTTAAAAAGTCATAGTTACTGTTAAAAGTTTTGGGGTAGGAAATCAATTTGCAAAAGTTTGTTTGAAACTCAACATTAAGAAAACCAAAATCATGGCATCCGGCCCTCTCAATTCCTGGCAAATAGATGGGGAAGAAATGGAGGTAGTGACAGATTTTATTTTCCTGGGCTCCAAGATCACCTCAGATGGGGACTGCAGCCAAGAAATTAAAAGACGCTTGCTCCTGGGGAGGAAAGCTATGGCAAATCTAGACAGCATACTAAAAAGCAGAGACATCACCCTGCCAACAAAAGTGCGTATAGTCAAGGCCATGGTTATCCCAGTTGCAATTTATGGATGTGAAAGTTGGACCATAAGAAAGGCTGAGTGACAAAGAATTGAGGCCTTTGAACTATGGTGCTGGAGAAGACTCCTGCGAGTCCCTTGGACTGCAAGGCGTTCAAACCGGTCAGTCCTAGAGGAGATCAACCCTGACTGCTCTTTAGAAGGCCAGATCCTGAAGTTGGAACTCAAGTACTTTGGCCACCTAATGAGAAGGAAGGACTCACTGGAGAAGAGCCTAATGCTGGGAAAGATTGAGGGCAATAGAAGGGGACGACAGAGAATGAGGTGGCTGGATGGAGTCACTGAAGCAGTAGGCGTGAACTTAAATGGACTCCAGAAGATGGTAGAGGACAGGAAGACCTGGAGGAACGTTGTCCATGAGGTCGCGATGGGTCGGACACGACTTCGCAATTAACAACAACAAATAGCAATATCTATCTCTCTATCTGTCTGTCTAACAACTTTTCAATATAGCAAAATTATACAATAGAAACAAAAAAAGAAAGAGAAAGGAAATTGGTGGGCTTCTAGCAGCATATTCATTTAATGAATTTAATAATAAAGTTGTTATTATTATTAAATTTTACAAAGAGAAAATACACAGTTGTGCCTTTCATCCTTCTTTCTATCAAGTAATTGTCATGCTAATCTGTTCCCCATCCTCGTCATGTCTCCATAATCCCCAAATCCCAAGATCAAATCAGTCTTGGCAAAAGGAGAAGGGGTTAATTAGATAGGGTCATTGACACAGTGGGCATGAATTTTGGCAAGCTCTTTGAGACAGTGGGTATATATTCCTTTTGATGTTAATGCAAATATGAAGTGTTACAGGCAGTGCTCATTATTCTGTGTAGACTTAGTTTAGAACTCAAGTTAATGTATACCAGATGTATCTTGGCAGAAAGTGGAATTCTTAACTATGTGCCTTCTATCTAGCTGGCACCTCTCTATGAGTTGGTGAAGGAAGTACCATGTGCCTCGGTCAAAAAACTGTACCTGAAAAAAGCAATTGAAGACTATTTGAGTGAGAATGACCCCTGCAAGTGCAAGCCATGTCAGAATGGTGGTGAGCCAGCTGTGGAAGGAACTCAGTGCTTGTGTTTTTGCAAGCCGTATACCTTTGGAGCAGCTTGTGAACTGGGAACTCTTGTACAAGATCAGCCAGGTAAGTATTTCTTCATTCATAAAAGTCAGGGATTTAATTTAGTCTGGACAATGTGTAACATTCAGTGTTCTCCATGCTTGATTCTTTATTAGCATCTATTGCAGTGGTTCTCAACCTGTGGGTCGGGACCCCATTTGGGGTTGATTGACCATTTCACGGGGGTCGCCAAGCAAGGCTGTCCACCATTTTTTTTGTCCGCCATTTTTTTTGTCCGCCATTTTTTTCCCTTTTCCAGCGGGTGCCTTACCTCCCTTGGGCTGGGCCAGCTGGTGGTTGGCCTGCTCCGTCTCTGCCGCTTGCCAGCTACGCCTCGGCCGGTGCAGGGGGCGGAACCACGCATGCGCGGCGCTCCCGGGCAGGGAAAGTCCTCAACTTACGACCAGTTGGGTAGTCCTCGACTTACGACCGGTTTAGTCCTCGACTTACGACCAGTTGGGGTCGCGGCATTAAAAAGGTTGAGAACCACTGATCTATTGTATGGTATCAAGTTCTGCTATTGTATTTATGAAAAGCAAATGAGCAATCTTCAAAACCACATTCTACAAGGAAAAGTTGAAACAAATGTGTATTTTATCCAGGAGAAATTGAAACAAGTGTTCCCGGTTGCTACAGATGATGGATTTAATACCAGTTGGTGGACATTTCATTAAAGTTGATTTTGGCTATGTACCAATTACAGAATAACAGAGTTGGAAGGGACCTTAGAGGTCTTCTAGTCCAACTCCCTGCTCAGGCAGGAAACCTATACCATTTCAGACAAATGGTTGTCCAATCTCTTCTTAAAAAAATCCAGCATTGGAGCATTCACAACTTCTGGAGGCAAGTTGTTCCACTGATTAATTGTTCTAACTATCAAGGGCAATTAGAACAATCAATCAGTGGAACAACTTGCTTTCAGAATAAGGAAGAACAGACTTTTTCTCCTCTCTCTTAAAGTAGCACAAGTACTTAGAGGTAATTGAATCCCAATTGCAAAAGGAGGAAGCTTGGCAGAAAACAAAAGGCGTGAGTTAACAGTATATTTTCAAAGGAAAAAAAACAATGGGAGGGCCTTCACAGGATTAATGTGCTTCCTCCTTCATTAGTTGGAGATGCTAGAAAGTACTGATAGAGGTTCCAGGTCAAGAAAAGACCAAGTCAGGTTCAATAAAAGATGAAAAAAAAGCATTTCAGAAAAAGAAGAGGAAAAAAGGAGCATTCATTGTAAAAATCCCTACATTGAAGACCTGGGTTCTGACGATATTAAAATGAAAAACTGATGGACTTGCATCAGGGGTGTTCTGTCTTATATCTGATATTGCAGTTCCAGACCTGAACATGGGGTTAAATTACAATTTTACAATGGGTGAACTTTTCTTTCACATTACAGGAGTCATTAATGGAGGCTGGAGCTGTTGGTCTTCTTGGAGCCCATGTACTAATGGAAGGAAGTCCAGAAGTCGGAGTTGTAATAATCCTTCCCCAGGGGGTGGTGGAAAATCTTGCATTGGTGAAAGCTTTGAAAACCCTCAGTGTGAGGATGAAGAGTTGCAATATTTTCGGTAGGAATACTATTGATAATTAATTTAAGATCAACATACAAAAGTATTTTTAACATTGATGCACGCTCTCACACACAAGGCTATTCAACATCAAATATATTAAAATTATTATCAATTGCAGAGAGGATTATATATATATAATATTGATGTTGAATAATCTTGTGAAATAGTGTCTTCAATTAGAACCTTCTCTGCCATAGTCCCCTAATTCTGGGACATTTTACTCCCAGGGGCTAGATGGGCCCCCACTTTTCTGGCCATTGGAAGGAGAGTTAAGATCTGGCTCTGTCAATGGTCATGGGGGGACTTAAGAGGAATATGCAACCCTGGCGGTGGTTGGTGATATGAGGCTGCTCCCTCTGTCTCTGCAACTTTGTAATAGCTAAATTTTTAACATTGTTTTTGTTTGAACTCTTTTTGTTTATGCTTTTATATTACAGTACATTTTTTTATTGTAAACCGACCCAGAGTCACTTAAGTGAGATGGGAAGTATAGAAATGCAATAAAAGAGGAAGAGAGAGAGAAATATAGATAGATAGATAGACAAACAGACAGACATAGATGACAGATAGAAAAGCAAAGCATTTTGAAATGAAAGGTGACAAATATATCATGTTTTGCTTTATAGAACAATAGAGCCACACTGCTTTGATACTTCTGGAACTGTCAGAGAATCCTGCCCATCACCGCCTCACTTGGAAAATGGATATGTTCAAGTAGGTAAAACATAAAAGAATGTTATTTGTATTCCAAATTTGTGTGCAGATCCAAAGCTGTAACTTAGACTATTATCTTATACTGACTTATTCAGAAAAAAGCCCCATATCTGATGTTCTTTGATGCATTGGCATGGCAACACTCTGATTTTCCTGTTAGCATGACTCTGGTAGTTCAATCCCTTGGGAAGGACACTTGAATAAGACAGCTAGAACAGAAGGACCACAATCCTTTGACATACTACATTCCACCCACTGAAGTATTTTCTCTCTTTACCTTTTTCTGTCCCTCTTTTTGGAAGATACGCAAGAAGTTCTGACTTCTTAACTACTTTCACCAAAGGTGCAGAGACTATTCTACTGCTAGAGGGTTTTTTGCAGTTTTATTACTGTTCTGCAGAAACACAAGTACTTAATTCCAACTTTACTGATATTTAAAAAATGCATAAACCAAAGAAAAAGAAACTGCTGTTGTATTGTTTGATATATTTTGTAAGAATATTCTGCATATAAAGATTTGTTTGTTTGGTTGGTTCAATGATTCTCAAGGTTGTTGGTTTTTCCTAGGATGCTGATTCATTCTATCCTGTGGGGAAAAGCATCCATTATGCTTGCACCACTGGATACGTAATTGTAGGAAACCCAGTTGCTACCTGTGCTGAAGGCTTGAAATGGACCATTGGAGAAATCAGCTGCCAGAGTATGTATAAGAATAGCAGAGTATTGCTGGAACAGACCAAAAGTCTGTTTAGTCCTGTATCTGTTCCCATTATGGTCAAATAGATAACTTTAGGACCACTGTAAGTAGGATATAAATATAATATCACTATTTGGATGGTATTCCCTAAAGATTGGTATTGGGAGGGATAAGCCCTTTCAACTGGAAGAAACAATGTTTGTTGATATCCATTAGGACAGTGTTTCTTAACCTCCACAACCTCAGTTCCCATAATTTCCCAGACAGAGTTGAAATTCATACATCTTACAAACTATTGCAATTGAGAAACACTGCATTAGGGTATTGACTTCACTGGATTTTCTCACCAACTTGTCAGGTATTGATAGGAAAGGAAATGGCCTCGATCCAGAGTTTTAAATATATACTAGGTAAAGAAGTACTTTTTTTTTTATCTTTCTCCAATTTCCCATCATTAGCATTAACTTTAGAGCCAATGTGGTGTAACAACTACCATGTTTCCCCGAAAGTAAACCCTACTCCAAAAGTAAGCCCCAGCTGATTTTGGGGGTAGGTGAGAGTGGGTCTAATATAAGCCCTACCCTGAAAGTAAGCCCTAGTGTGGGGCGGGGCGAGTTGGCCCAGATCTTCCATGCGACCACTGGAGCGCCCCCCCATTGCCGGTCCACCAGCGGCCACTGGCAAAGGGCTCTGGCAGGCCGGCAGCAGAGGGGCCCTACGGCGTCACTCGGAAGATCTGGGCCGACTCGCCCTCCGCCAGGTAGGAGCAGCCCAGAGCAGCATGGCCAGGAGGGCAAAGAGCCCCGCGGGGCCCAAAGAGCACCAGGTTCAGCTCTTAGCCCAGTGCCTGCAGCACCGAGTAGGTGTGCAGACTGGCGCTCAGCAGCCCAAAGGCAGAGGCACGGGCAGTGCAGTTCCACCGGCGGCCGCTGGCAAAGGGCCCTGGAAATTATACTCCAATGTGATTGGAAAATTTCAGAAGATCATTTGAATCTCTTCACATGTATCTGCATATGCTTGGATAAAATATAGCCAGGTTTTAGTTCTGCAATATTAGTCCTCAGTTTACAGGTCAGGATCTAATCTGGGTCGACATTATTTATCACCCACATTATAAAAGAATAAAAGTCATGTGGAGAAAAACAGAAAATAGGGGGAAAATTAGAGAAAAGAAAAAAAAAACAGGAAAAAACAGATGTGCAGTACATACAATTTATACAACACACTCATATCACTTCTATTATTTTCTGATTCAGTTTTAAGATGCAGCTAAAAAAGGTAAGGGCTACTGTCTACAATAAGAAAATAGAAAACAACAATTGAAAATATTCGTGTCTTTGCCTCTTTCTCTTTTCTTAGAAACAGCTTGTCTTTTACCAAGGTTTGAAGGAAGACTGAGAGGAAATCCACTGAAGCCTTCCTATCAGATTGGAGAGAAAATTCACCTGTCCTGCCCAAATGACATGCAGCTAGTAGGATCATCTCTTCTTCTATGTGAACCTAGTCTGAAATGGTCTCCTGACCTTGCTCAAATCCACTGCCAAAACCAAGGTATGTTTCAGTTCTAAATAGTTAAAAAATAGCACCAATTTGGTAGATGCTATCACCACCACCATCATCATCTATGCCTTGTAAGCTAGTTAGCTATCTTTAGAGGTGGTAGAGACACAAATATTGTTCTTAATCCAGTTGCTAATCCAGCAAACTGTTATACATGAAATGTCTCTGGTAGCAAAACGTCTTAAGCCAGCCCTAATCCAAACACTGCTTGTCCTAAGTGTAGTATGTATACTTTATATTCCTCAAAATTAATGAATGAAGCTTATATCAATGAACTTTTCTTCAAGGTCAGGTGTGTACCCTCCATTTTTTGTTTGAGTGCAATAATTGTATTCCATGAAATGATTGCTTCTAAAGAGCCAATTTGCAGTGAAAAAAAATCTTTTAATCCCTATTTTTCTTCCAGTGATAGGAAGCTGGGTTTCAGAAGGCTGAAATGGGGCCCTAAAAATATAAGAGTTCTTTTGTATGTTATATGTATGTTTATAAAACAACAGCATAGCCTAAAATGCAAATATTAAAATTGGATAGGCATTGATGGCAGTGGATGGTGGAACATAATTTTTGTTTTAATCATGATTAAAGAGGAATAGTTTAAACCAGGGGTGTCCAACCTTGATAATTTTAAGACTTGTAGATTTCAACTGCCAAAATTTCCCAGCCAGTCTGGGAAATTCTGGCAGTTAAAGTCCACATGTCTTAAAGTTGCCAAAGTTGGACACCCCTGGTTTAAACCTTCCTATTATTGCAGTAGCCATAGAGAACATTTAATGAAGTGATTATAAGCACAGTTGTTATGTAGTTGGACTCTCAATAGCCATAAAACTGCCCCAGTTCTAAAACTTAAGCCCTAATTTTGTCATTAAAGTATCATATCCCTTATTCACAATTGGTCCATGTATCCTCCCCTGATGAAACTCCTGAGGCTGTGCTGGCTTTGGCTTCCCATTTTCTCCTAGTGATGCTATGTTTCTTCTTACATTTCAGTTGTTCCTCCAGTTACACATCCAACAGTGATTCAGTGCCAACCATGGGAGAGAGTTTATCAGACTCAGTGTGTTTGTAAGTTGCCAAACGAATGCAGGTGAGTGGATTTAACAGATATGCCATTTCGGTTAAATTAAAATTTTAAATGTGTGAGTGTTGGATGAATTAAAAAGCTTTGGAGCTTCATTTGCAAAAAAACGAACTTATCTTCATAGTTGGACAGAACTGCTTGAGGAGTTACCTTGAAGTTTGAAGGAGGAGTGGATGGTTTGGAGATGTTTGAATAGACTGTGCACTGATTTGGCTAGAATTAAAGACCCCATGGTTTTTCCATGAGGACAAGGATATTTACTGTGAATGTGGCACTATTCAAACAAATATCCATCTTTTACAGTGCCCACTAGGAGCAACATGCACACAGATGACTTGCTGGCATAACTCTGCCATTAACATGGCCTGACATTGAGCTAGAACTATATAAAATTCTGTTTTATTAAAGTTTTTAATATTTTAAATTTAAATCAATAATCTCCCCCTTCTAGTTCCTGCATTTTTGACACAAGATGAGATGAGCTTGATCTGAGGAAATGATTGCTATTTACCCTTCCTCTCCTGCCAAAACAGTGAATGTGAAGTGCTTACGGGAGAGGTGGGGTTTTAGGAGAAGTTGAGCTTCAGCCACTGTCATCATCTAGATCCAGGATATATCCTGGAAGGCAATCCTGTCCTTAGATAGTTGACAGCTTCCAGCCCCAGGCTACATCTGGACTTGCCCTTGAATTCCACCATAAAGTCGTAAAATGTATGGAGATTGAGGACATCATACTAGTCAATGAATGTATGCACTTATTTATATTAAAGACAATTCACATGATTCACATTTGTATAATACGGTCCTCTTTTGACATATTAAGAATTGCAATTTGGCAGCAGAGCTTGGAGGTTTCACTCTAAGCTTTCAATGACTTCATGCAGCCTGGAGGATTCAGACAGTGTGTACCTGCTGTTAAAAGTCAGAAGAGTGTTCTGGGTGATTTGCTGGAGTTATTTTTTTTTTCTTTCCAGCTCTTCGCTGGATGTCTGTGCTACTGACCCCAAAACTCAGAGGAGCATATGGCTAACCATTTGCAAGCTACATGCCCTTGAATGTAGGGGTAGGCAATACACTTTAGTGGGCGAGGAAAACTGCAAAGCCCGTACTCTACCCGAGCAAAGTTGTGATTCCTGTCAATTGTGGGAGGATTGTGATGGTAAGAGATTTTTTTCCTTATTTACAAAAGCTAGAAACTGTAAATATGGATCTGTCTCTGATAAAGAGTCAGGGTGATTATTGCCCCCCCCCCCCCGATTCCATTCAAGTTGACCCTAGAGGGATTTTTTTGTCCCTTCAGATTTTCTAAAAAATGTTCTCACATTTCCCATTTTAGCAATAGCAGTAGCACTTAGACTTATATATCTCTTCACAGTGCTTTTTAGCCCTCTCTAAGCAGTTTAGAGTCAGTATATTTCCCCCAACAATCTGGGTCCTCATTTTACCGACCTCGGAAGGATGGAAGGCTGAGTCAACCTTGAGCTGGGGAGAATAGAACTGCCAAACTGCTAGCAGCTGGCAGTTAGCAGAAGTAGCCTGCAGTACTGCATTCTAACCACTGCACCGCCACAGCTCAATTATGCCCTTCAAAGTACTCAGAGGAAAAATTAAGGGTTATTATCAAGGCAAAGAGCAGAGGAAGGAATTAGGGCCAAGCAATAGCTTACAAAACCCAGTTTGATCTAGTGATTAAAACATTGGGCTACAAACCAGGAGACTGTGAGTTCTAGTCCTGCTTTAGGCACAAAGCTAGTTGGTGATGTTAAGCTGGTCATTTTCTCAGTCCTAAAAAATAGACAATGGCAAATCATTGCTGAAATAGTGCCATGAAAACTTGACATGAATTTGTCCAGGCAGTCACCAGAATTCAACCGCACATGTGCACACACTGACTGTTATATTTGTTGCTGCTTCTTGTTTTATCCTGGAAGTGAGGTATCTGCAGGGAGTCTTCAGAAAAATCAAACTGGTAGCTGCAACAGTGTGATCAAACATGTTTTTTTTATGTGTGTTGTATATATATAAACACATGACACACACAAAAAATAACTGGAGCTTTGATCACATCATCCTGGCCACCAGCTTAACTTTTTCTGACCATACTCTGTGGTTATCCTTGCCTGGGAGAATACTCTAGTCTAGACCAGGGGTAGGCAACCTCGACTCTTTTATGACTCATGGACTTCAACTCTCAGAATTCCTGAGTCAGCATAGCTCTAGACTGTTGGTGAAAACTCTCAATACATCTTTCAAGCCGTAAACATATTAATTTGGCTTTTTTTAACTAACACTCTCACTTCAACAATTGGTTAGGTTGGTTTGTGTATTACAGATCTGATTTTCTGCTTTCATTACATTAACCTCCTACTTTGCAACTGTTCATTATTTAGAGTCCACCAACACGTGCACATGCAGAGAAGCTGGACAATGCAGTGAAACTGGAACAAGCATTTGTGTCAGTGTGAATGGAAGTCCTGACCAACAGACTATGACTGAATGCGAGGCCGGCATCCTTAGATGCAGTGGAGAGAATGTCAGTGTAATTAGCATAAGACCTTGTCTTATACAACAAACTTCCCAATAATTAATGTCATTGGTAATAGAACTGGGTAGACAATGTGATTAACAATGAAGAGGCAGAAAAGTAGAGACAGTGCTATTGAAATTTGTAAAATATCTCTTTCTGTTAAATAATACATGACAAGAAAGGTTTGCAGATATTTTATTGGTGTATATTCTCTTCCCAAATAAAAGTTGGAAAATAATCAGCCCACTCAATTTTATATGGATTTTATCCATATTGCAGGAATATCACCAAATTTAGAGCAGCCCAGTAGGAAAAAGACACTCAACATTTTCTGATCAGGAATCACTTTTGGCCTCACTGATAAGGCTAAAGGCCACATTCCAAAAAATAATAGCTGAGAAAAAGATCTTAAAACTAATTAAGTTTTATTTTGTTTGCAAATTAACTGCTGTTAATGTAATTACTTTTAGTTATACAGTATTTTTAATAATTTCCACTTCTATAGGCCTGAGAATTTAAGTTGAGTACTTCTGCACTAAGGGATAAAGGAAATTTTGACTAGCTAACAACAACTGTAATGATGTTAGCATTTGGCAGGCTAACAGTTGTGCGTAGTGGTCTGCATTCTGTCTGGCAGATAGTTCTGGACACCTGACGTAACCCACATCTCTTTCATCTTGTCTTACTAAAACAAAGAAAGAGATGTTGGGGTTGTAGATCTCTTTAACAATCCTGAAATATTCTGGTCCGGGACTTTTTGCTTGAAATTGAAATCACTTTGATTGTACGTTTTAATGATTAGAATGATTTTGTTGTTATAGAAATGGCTTGAAATGTTGAGAAATGTGAGGCTAAAGGTTGAGTTGTAATTCTTTATTTTTTTTTGTACTCTACTGCACTGAACAAAGTTAGAAGTTGCACCTGTTTTCTTGTTACTTTCTCTTTGCACCTCTCTCTTAACTTTCTAACTTTTCTTTTTGTAGCTTTATCTTACAATAAACTTTGATAAAAATTTTGAACAAACAATCCTGAAATATTCACAGAAGTTGACTTTTCATGTCAATAAATCATGTTTTAAAAATTGTGGCAGTGTGATTTCTGTTCACAGACCTTACCTTTATTGAATCTGTGAACAAGCTCAAAAGAATTTCAGCAAGTTTGGAGTTCAGCAAACATGAAACTCAATAGTGATAGAGTAACAACAATTGGTATACAGCTTAGGGATAAGGGATCATCAGTCCATGTGCTAAAAAGAGCAATCAGCCTTTAAAGAAAGCCTTCATCCTGCAACACTTAGATCTAAATGAACCTAATGATAAAAGCCAATAGAGCAGGGGTCTTCAAACTTGGCAACTTTAAGACTTGTGGACTTCAACTCCCAGAATTCCTCAGCCAGCCCTAGCTGGCTGAGGAATTCTGGGAGTTGAAGTCCACAAGTCTTAAAGTTGCCAAGTTTGAAGGCCCCTGCAAGAGAGGGTTAAAATGGCAGGCAGTCTTCCAATCATGTGCTATATGCTCTCTCTCCCCCCCCCTACTCCAAGACCTCTCATGACTTGAATGCAAGAGAGATGAAATTTTGAGAGTTCAGAGCTGAACCTTATCATCCTGAATTTGAGGGCCACGAGAGACCTTCTAGTGACCCAATGATGTACCAGATGAGGCATGGCCACTCTGTCCAACCCATTTCTTTTGCTCTGGAAAGGTAGGGTTAGAGATGAGAATGGGAGACCTCTTTCTGAGAGGCAAATTACCCCCATTTCTACTCTTAATACAATCCCTCCCCCCATAGCAGAAACAGCTTTAAACCATGTTGCTAAATTTTGGTGGGAAAAAATAACAAACCTCTGGCTGAAAGGGACAACATATTTCTGAAGCAGAGAATATTCTGGAAGCTTCCTTTTTTTGGTAAAACTTGTAAAAACTTCATCTGTATTCTCAGATAACAGAAATACCTTCCCCTGAAACATGGAAGTTTTGACACTACATAAAGAGATAGGGCTGTCTGTAATGTTTCCTCTTCTTCCCTCATTTATTCCATGATTTCCTTGATTTTTCTGAAAAAGAAGTGGGTAGAACACACCGGCAGAAATTAGAGTTAAGTATTGCATAGTCCTGCCCTTTATGCACTTTCAAAGCTCTCAGGAATTCAGACAAATAATTGAACAAAGGCAAGTCTAGCTTAAACTTTGGAAGTACTGTATATATAATACACCCACTTCTTTAATGGCTCAGGGCTCAAGATGCCTGAATACTGTAGAGTGATTATACAAAATGGTCTATTATACTGTTACTTCCCGACTAATGTATTTTGCTACTCTTCCGTCTGTCCATATTGTCTATTGGATTATATAAGGCACATTTGCTAGACCTTCATTTCTGAGTTTAGTTTGATATACAGCAACCTTCTGTATCTTTCCATCATAAGTCCTTTTTAATATCTCAGCAAGAGACAGAATGCCTAGTTTTACGGCTACAGTTCTAAGCATATTCATGTGAAAATGAGTCTTGTTGCTATTGCTGAGATAATTTGTCAGTAAAAACTAAGTCTATTATTGGGCTTTCAAGTTAATCCATAACTCAGAGCTTGGTCATTAATCAACAGGTTTGGCACTTTTCCTTTACTTGGATTGTTTATCAGCTCAACCTCTGGGAAAGTCTACTGGGCACAATGATAAATCCAGGGCACTCACCTTCACTTTTGCCAAGGGAACAAAGTATAGACAATATTTTGCCAACTAATGCTACAGAAAACATAATGGGATCAGTAATATTCAAGATTGGTGTAAAAATTCCAGGATGAATATGTATCCACCTATTCAATTATTTATTTAGTACAATTATTTCCTACCTTTCCTCCAGCTACTCAAACCAATGTTTATAAGTGTAATGGTACATGGGAATGACCTTGGGAGACAGCAACAGCCTATAAATCATCATGCAAAAGGTATCTCAGCCCACAGAAAGAAAAGGGGTATGGGAAACATCTCAGAAGAGACCCTCCCTAGTTTTCTGGAAAATCAAAATAAAAGAGGGGAGAAATATTTCTTAGAGTTGCAGGATTCTGTTACTGTAATCTTACAATAAAGATAGTGTTAGTACTCATGGTTTATGCTTTTGGTCTGGAATATCTCAAAGAGCTGACAATTGTACTCTCATATGCATTTTCTCCACAAGAACAGCCCTATAAAACAGATTGGACCAAAGTCACTCAATATACTTCCATAACTGTAGGGTAACATGAACTTTGGTCACCAGAATCCTAGATTAACACTTTAAACTTTATAGCATATTAGATCTCTTCGCTTAAGGAGGAAAAGCTGCTGACTTTCTTATTGAGGAGGCATTCAACTATATCCAAAAGGGCTGAAATCAATTTCTGAACCTAATTTCCTATTTAGTAACAGCATTTTTGCTTTATTCAATCTCATTTTAGCTTTGTTTTCTGCCATCAAGTCTGTAATGGAATGTAAGAAATTTTAAAGGATGTCTATTATTTTCTTGGAGCTTGATAAATTCTGTCTACACTGATATATCACTTCAAAACTCTGAAAGATTTTCCTCAGCAGTTTCACCTAGAGGTTGAATAGCTTGAAAGAGAAGATGAAACTCTATAAGATAATAGGAACAGTAGTAGTCCCCTTCCGGATATAGAAGGTATAACAACTGAAAGGTTGTACCAAAAAGTGCTAAATAAATCAAACAAAATAGATCAAACAGATTCTTAACCAACCTAGCCAACAACTTTATCACCCAACAGGTAGAGGAGGGAACTAGAAGTAAAGCTATCCTGGACCTAATCTTTACTAATCGAGAAGAAGTGATAGAGGGAATTGAAGTTGCCAGAACCTTGGGTGAAACTGAAATTCAATATAATGCAAACACAAATAATGCAAACACAAACAATAGAAAATAATCCAACTATAGTCTTAAACTTCAAAGGAGCTGATTTTAACAAACTCAAAGAGAACCTAGGAAAGATTCCATGGATGAAAATCCTAAAGGGGAAAACAACTCAAGAAGCATGGGAAACTCTGAGGAGTATGATCATAGGGGCCCAATCCAGCGCAATACCACTGAAAAAGAGAAACAAGAAATTCAAGAGGAAACCAGCATGGCTGCACAAAGCTCTCTCTGACAAACTGAAAGACAAAAAGGACAAGTACAAAAAATAGAAAGAGGGACACATAACTAAGGCTGATTATCAGCAAACAGCCAGAACATGCAAAGGTGAAGTCACGAAAGCAAAAGCTCAGAAGGAACGAAGACTTGCAGCAGAAATCAAGGACAATAAAAAAAAATCTTTCAACATATTAATAACAAAAAAGGTCAAGGAAACTATAGGTCCACTAAAGAGAGAAGATGGCAAAGAAGTAACAGGCAACAGGGAGAAAGCAGAACTGCTTAACTCATTCTTTGCATCAGTCTTCACACAAAAAGAAATTATAGCCCAACATACCAAAAAAAAGCCTACTGCAAAAGACAAACTAGAAACAAAAATTAAAATAAGCAAGAAAATGGTAAAAGAACATCTATCCAACCTTGATGAATATAAATCACCGAGACCAGACAGATTACATCCCAGAGTTCTGAAGGAGCTGGCAGATGTTATCTCAGAACCATTGCACCATACCTTCCTTAAATCCTGGAGCACCGGGGAAGTACCTAAGGATTGGAAAAGAGCTGATGTGGTCCCCATCTTCAAGAAAGGGGGGAAAAACAGACCCAGGAAACTACAGACCAATCAGTCTAACATCAATACCTGGAAATATCTTGGAAAAGATAATCAAAAAACAGATCTGCGAACAACTAGAAGCAAACAAAGTTATAACCAGTACCCAGCACGGGTTTGACAAAAACAGATCATGCCAAACCAATCTTCTTTTATTCTTTGATAAAGTGACTAAATTAGTAGACCAGTGAAATGGTGTGGACAAAGTATACTTAGGTTTCAGTAAGGCATTTGACAAAGTAGACCACAACCTGCTGCTTAGTAAGCTAGAAAAAAGTGGGATAGACAGCAAAAGTGGGATCTGTAGCTGGCTGACAAACCGTACTCAGTGAAGAGTCCTCAATGTACTACATCCACATGGAGAGAAGTAGGCAATGGGATAACACAAGGCTCCTTCTTAGACCCAGTACACTTCAATATCTTCATTAATCACTTAGATGAGGGAATAGAAGGGGAACTCATCAAATTTGCAGATGACACCAAACTGGCAGGAATAGCCAACACCCCAGAAGACAAGCTCAGGATCCAAAAAGATCTTGATAAAGGTGAACAATGGGCCCTATCCAACAAAATGAGTTTTAATCTGGAGAAAAGCAAAGTTTTACATTTAGGCAGGAAAAATCAAAGGCTCTCTCCTCCAACTGAGGGGAGGGGGGGATCCTCTGGAGGGGAGGGCCGAGGATTTTGCACAATATCTGTATGACAAAGTCGCTCGGATCCGGGAAGGCTTGGACTCCGACTGGTTGGCCCAGGGGGAGGAGACGGAAGCAGGTCTTGAGACGGTTATATGGGAGGAGTTTGACTCTGTTGCTCCCGAGGATGTGGA